AGTTGTTCGGGAGGATGCTGTTCAATAAAAAGGAAAGTATAGCTGTATATGATTGTATGTGTTTATGTAAATTCAACGAACGAGCCTAACCATTTTGTAGGATGTATTAATTACGCAAGATCACACGAAATAGTATGTATTTGTTTGCTATGAAATAATTTATTCTGTGTCTCCGACTGTGAGACTGAATTGAGTTTAGTTTGTGTGGAGCAATTATCAAAACGGCACTCTGTAATGGGAAGCCTACTGAATGTGGATTATGCCATGGTGGATGGACTTTGTTTAGAATTTTGTTTGGAAATAGTGCAATACTATATTGAGTGCTTGATGTTCGCTTATCTGCAACATGGGACGTTCAATTGAGAAGTGTCATTTATTTATAGGGAAAAGTACTACAGCGAGTATGCTTGCTTATATCTTAAAGGGGATGGGAGATAATCTTACTGCTGTAATTGGCGCACAAGTGCCACAGGTATTATTTTATATCCTGTGAAGAAGAAGTGAATTTGCCATAACGTTTAAGCTTACCTGCCTTTTCTTCCGCTATACCTTTGTTTAATAGTATGATCCTATCATTCTTCTGTACTATGGACAAAATTTAGACATTTATGTAGTTTTATTTACTTAAATTTGTGTATCAGAATTTAGACTTATCAAAGCTGCCTTCTGCAGTTTGGTGGAGGTAATGTCATCCATGGGAACAGTCACAATTTTGTACTGGAGGTATTCCATCCACTGATCAATCTTTGAATACAAATCTGCCATTCAGAATGAATGATTAGTTTTGCATTTATAATTAGATTTTAGGATCGGGATAAATAAGATATAACAAAAGAATTTGATGTTGCATATTTGTTTTCTATTTGTAGAAACAAATGCAATTTCTGAAGGTTCTCCTGGGTAAGATGGAAACTGAAAATATTATATCACTGGTAGAGAATATATTCCTATATAACTCATACATAACAAATATTTGCACTGGGGAACTGCAGAAACTTACTGTAAAACTCCTCACATTTTGGGATAATTAAATCTCTGTTTTGTGTTTGGTGTAGGCCGATGAATACGATTCTTGCTTCCTTGAATTATCACCTCATGTGGCAGTTGTAACAAATGTCGATTGGGAGCATGTCGATATATTTCAAGATGAGGTTCATCTCATTCTGTTGAACAACCTAACTTGTGATACTGAGATATGATGAACTTTAGCTTGGGATCTTATTCAATTTTGTCACCAATCAGCAGGCTGTTGAAACAGTTTTAAGGAAGTTCCTTGGGAAAATAAGAAATGGTGGACATCTTGTGTTTTGCGGGGATAGGTATATACTGATTCATCTGATGTCTTTTACTTTTCAATTTTTCCTTTGATTTTGTCTGATATCTAGCTTTCCATAATATGAGCACCGCAATAAACTTCAAAATGAACCTCTTTTCAGGAATGACCAAAATCGTGGTGCATATACTTTGCTATGTGACCCAAAACAAGTATTAAGCATTTCAGATCATATGGAGCTCTGTGATGCACATCTGCTCAACAACAATTATAGATTTACAACTTATGGGATGTTAAATTATAATGAATGGCATGCATCATCAGTTTGTTTTAACCCACATGGTGGTTAGTGATTATAAACTGGTAAGATATTTATTTCCCGGTATAAATCATCAACATCTTAGGTAAATTACTCACACTATGATCAAGAACAGGTTTTGATGATGTGGTAAAACCGTAAAATATCCAGAACTGTTCCTAGAATTATTCTTCTTCTGCTTGTTATCCAGACTATGATCTTTTATTGTGCAAGACCAGTTCAATGCTTCCATGTATTTCGTCGATGACTCTGGTTATTATTTTGCTCGTCATGTTCAAATTGCATTTAGAAATTAATTTTATCCATCCTGGATTAATCTGTATCTGAATGTTGGATTCAAGTGTGCAAGTAGAAATTGATTTTATCCATCCTGGCTTAATCTGTATCTGAATGTTGGATTCAAGTGTGCAAATAGAATATGATTTCACCAACGCTAAGTTCTTATTCCCTTTGCAGTATCGCAAGGGGCATTATGTTGCAGATATCAGCTTACGAGTACCTGGAGTTCACAATGTTCTTAATTCATTAGCTGTAAGTGGGAACCCTGGAAATTTCTGAACCCGTTGTTGATATTCATTAAACTCAACTGCGGAGCTATGTTTTTAGTTTCTACAACCTTTTGCATTAGCTGAATTGTACCTAGTGGTATTAGAGCTTTAGGGGCTTTGATATCCTGCACATGGGAAGTTAGCATGTTATACTGTGTCAAGTTCTTCACTTGTTAGCCTAATTTTTTTCTCCATATCCGACTGCTTTTCTCAACTCCTCCATCTTTCCATGCAGGTTGTTGCAACAATAAGTTCGTTTTTTGGTGATGAAAGACAATTTTATGAATCAATAGATGTGAAGTTTCATCTAAATAAATTCGAAGGTGTCTTTAGACGTTTTGAGATGATTAGTGCAGTTAATGGATGCCATATATATGTCTGGGCAACGGTTCCCGACACGAATTCATGTTCTCTACTCCGCTCATTCTCAAGTTCCCAACTCATCGAGATATTTGACCAATCAAATTGATCTCACCCATTGATGAATCAAAGAACAATTAAAATTACGAAAAGATATACATAATCCTGTCAAGGGATTTAGATGAAATACACAGCGGTCTAGTGAAATTTAATTCTTCGCACGGTCATGCTATAGAATTAAATTCAACACGTGGTCCGTTCAATACACTCCAAGTGTACTAGTGTCACCTTTTACTATTTCTGTGATAAGGACAAATCACAAACCCGAATAGTGAATTGGTCAACACTACAACCTTCCAATATAAGGTGCCAACCCTTATACGTAGATTGTGAACAAATTATTTATGATCAAAATATAAATTGTGTCACACTGTACTTCTCAACGCAAGTACTCAACTCATATTATCACAAGTGATCATAGGCACTTTAACTTCGTATGCTCAATAATAAATAAATGCAAAAAATAAATTAAACATAATTTTATTCAATAAAAATATTATTATTTTTTTTTACATCAGCAAAACTATACTATATGGGCACACAACCCAACATTTACAACTTATGGGATGTTAAATTATAATGAATGGCATGCATCATCAGTTTGTTTTAACCCACATGGTGGTTAGTGATTATAAACTGGTAAGATATTTATTTCCCGGTATAAATCATCAACATCTTAGGTAAATTACTCACACTATGATCAAGAACAGGTTTTGATGATGTGGTAAAACCGTAAAATATCCAGAACTGTTCCTAGAATTATTCTTCTTCTGCTTGTTATCCAGACTATGATCTTTTATTGTGCAAGACCAGTTCAATGCTTCCATGTATTTCGTCGATGACTCTGGTTATTATTTTGCTCGTCATGTTCAAATTGCATTTAGAAATTAATTTTATCCATCCTGGATTAATCTGTATCTGAATGTTGGATTCAAGTGTGCAAGTAGAAATTGATTTTATCCATCCTGGCTTAATCTGTATCTGAATGTTGGATTCAAGTGTGCAAATAGAATATGATTTCACCAACGCTAAGTTCTTATTCCCTTTGCAGTATCGCAAGGGGCATTATGTTGCAGATATCAGCTTACGAGTACCTGGAGTTCACAATGTTCTTAATTCATTAGCTGTAAGTGGGAACCCTGGAAATTTCTGAACCCGTTGTTGATATTCATTAAACTCAACTGCGGAGCTATGTTTTTAGTTTCTACAACCTTTTGCATTAGCTGAATTGTACCTAGTGGTATTAGAGCTTTAGGGGCTTTGATATCCTGCACATGGGAAGTTAGCATGTTATACTGTGTCAAGTTCTTCACTTGTTAGCCTAATTTTTTTCTCCATATCCGACTGCTTTTCTCAACTCCTCCATCTTTCCATGCAGGTTGTTGCAACAATAAGTTCGTTTTTTGGTGATGAAAGACAATTTTATGAATCAATAGATGTGAAGTTTCATCTAAATAAATTCGAAGGTGTCTTTAGACGTTTTGAGATGATTAGTGCAGTTAATGGATGCCATAAATATGATGACTATGCTCACCACCCTAACAGCAAGGCAAATGTTTCCATCTAAGGAACTTTGGGTGATGTTTCAACCTCACACTTATAGGTATTAAAAATTGGGTTTTTCTTAGCTTTCTTTGCTTACATGGATTGTTGGACTTCTGTTTATGTTATCATCTGCAGTCGCCTGGCAGCTTTGAAGAGTGAATTTGCCTCTGCATTAATTCATGCAAATCAAGTTTCTATCACTGAGGTAAAATCATAGTCAGTTTAGCATTTTAAAAGTGAGCCTTCACTAAATTCTAGGTTATTGACAACAGATTTATGCTGCCAGAGAAACAAACTATTCCAATATTAGCGGAAGGGATCTCGCTATGTCTATAACTGGTCCACCATGTGAATTCTTCCCATGCCTGGTATGGAAAAATAACTTTGAGCACAACACTGGCACACAATCTCTAAACATGTAAATAAATAAAGTTGAGGGTCAGTGTCGGAGCTAGGGTTATAGACTTGTGAGGGCAAATTTCTATAACTAAAATCGTGGGGGCAAAATCGACAACTATAAGGAATTTAAAATAAGATTTCAAGGATTTGAAATGTGGGGGGGGGGGGCAGCTGACCCCACTGCCCCCATACAAAATACTGTCAGGGGTAAAGCAAAAACTGCCGTTGGTCAATAACTTGGATAATGTATCTTCTGGATAATGTTTTTGAGAAATCAACTCCATTAATATAGAGGAGCATTTCTCAATTGCTCTATCACTATATTTCGATTATGAATCATTTGTAATCTCTTTCAGGACGACGTGGTGGATAAGTTGGCACAGTGGGTTTCATTAGATCCTAATCGTCCACTGGTCATCTTGACGCTCGGAGTAGGTAGGAACCTGTTTGGCAGACTTGTGCCAAGGATCACTCATCATACAAAACCTAACTCCAACCATCGGATTTTTTTCTCTTTTTGCTTGAAAAAACAGGTGATATAACTAACGTGGGACGAAAACTGCTGCAAAAGTTGAAACAAACATTACCATGATCCATTCAATTTGAAGATCAACCCTGATGCTACCAAAAATCGTACCTGTAGATTTTCCGAGCTTGATGACTGATGATGAGCACGAACGTGATCTTCCGATACCTGA